GAGGGAGAGAGGGAGAGAGGGAGAGAGGGAGAGAGGGAAAGAAGGAAAAATAGATGGAAGAAAGTAGGAAGGAATGAAAGAAAGAGCAACAAAGGGAAGAAAGAACGAAGTAGAACCGTTCAATGAATGAATAAAAGGATGGCAGGCCATACACATGGAGCAGTAGTAAACAGGCATAGAAATGGCAAACTTTGAATGAAATGGCTATCTCTTGACTCTGGGCGACCACCCGCAATTAACCAGGGGCATCTACTGGTGCAGGATCTGCCAGGCAATTTCCTGGAATTACAACTTCTGCAGTACTTGGTGGCAGATTCAAACCGGTTCCGAAGGCTCCCACCAGTTGTGACAAAGCTGACCAACCTCAAGGTAACAGAAATTTCCTCTTTTCTTTTCCTCCTCATCATCTGTCCATCCCTCTGTCTGCCCATCCATCTGGGGAAGACCGTTGCTTAGAGCTCTCTCTCTCTCTCTCTCTCTCTCTCTCTCTCTCTCTCTCTCTCTCTCTCTCTCTCTCTCTCTCTCATGCAATTGTGCTTCATATTCACACTGTGGTTCCCTTTTTTTTCCTCCCCCTTCTTCTTCCCTTCCCTTTTCTTTGCCCAACCCTCTCCCCCACCCTCTTGTCCTCTCTTCCTCTCTCTTCCGCCTTTCCCCTTCTTCTCTTCCGCCTCCCTCCCCTCTCCTCTCCCTCCTCCATCGCCCCCCCCATTCCCCTCTCTCCCCCTCTACCCTTTCCTTTTCTCCGTTCTTCCCCCCCCCTCCTCTCTCTCTTCCTTTTCATTGCCTGTCCGTCTGCCATTTACCATGTGAATTCTGCACTGTGTAAAGCTTGTTATCCTGCCATTGTATGGATTAACTGGACATATATGCATGGCACGTGTACATGTGTGTCTTTAATGCTTCTAATCGATGTATTTGTGTACATATGTGTGTATAATTTCAAATTTGCATGGATGACAATAGCTTCTGGAGATTTCAGATAACAAGATCAAGGAACTTCCGGAAGAGTTGGGAGCACTAGCAGGACTGCAGCAGCTTGTCCTCGGCGGCAATCGTTTGGCTTTTCTTCCCCGGAGCTGCACCAACCTGTCGCGGCTGCAGACACTTGCAGCCCCTGACAACAGGTAATCTTTTTTAAACTACTACCCTCTCTTCTCCCCTCTCTTCCGCCCCTCTTCCTCTCTCCCTCTCTCCCTCCCTCCCTCCCTCCCTCTCTCCC